GCAGGGAGGGACCATAGTCCAAACAAAAGCCAAACCTTATGCTGTGTGATAGCAAGAGTAATAGGATATTGTAGCTAAATAACTGGTGCACAGGCTACTGGTTCAGATTTTCACTTTCAAGTGGGAAGGAGTCTAGAGGGGTATAGTGCACTGCTGAAAATTCCATTGATTCCACAACTTTTTTCCTGATTTTTCCCCAAATTTTGAAAATGATTTTTATATTTGTGAGTATAACTTATGTCAATTTTCAAGATTTTTTAAAGTTGAAAGACAAAAATTTTAAAAACTTTGACACATTCATTGGATTCAAGCTAAAAAGCAAAACATGGCTAACATAATGATGCTTTTTATGCAGTTTTAAAAAGTAATTTAGCTCAAGAATTCGATTTTTGCCAAATTTGTAAAGTCTCCACCGCGGGAAACGGGACCCTCCTGCAGGCCCCTCTGGGGGCTCTGTGGGAGGGAGGTAGGGGGCAACTGGGAAGGGAAGGGTGCGAATTTACTCACCGATGCAGGGATTTAAGTAACTTTATTATTAAGGATTACTGTATAGATACTTTTTTTCCAACACGGATTCCACGTTTTTGGTCGATTTATTTATCGACGTATCCGACGAGAAATCGAAGCACTATATTTTTTAGAATTATCTATCTTTTTTAATCGCGGGAAAAATAGTCGATCGTGAGAAAATCGTTCAAGAGCTCGCTGTTGGGTTGATCGGACATGAGAATGATTTTTCCCATGCAGCAGTTGCTCATTGAACAATGCAAAAGGCTGGCTTTTTTTAAAGGCATTGTGTGACAGCACACGTACGAAACCCGTTGAACTTGATCTAAAAAAGGATTAAGAATTTAAAATAGAGTAAAGTACTTTTACTACACAGATTTCCACAAAAATTTCAAGAATGTCGATCAGTGTTTACGCGGCAGTTGTACACACTTCTGCTGAAGCTTCGTGTGGGCGAAATGAAGATAGCATTCAGGTATTTCACCAAGACAATGAAGTGAACCAAAATTGTAGTCATAGTAAAATACAACTGAAAGATCTATACTGTATGTGATTCCTCTTGCATATAAATCTCTATATCTTTATCTACTTGAATCGTTCTAAACACCCCTTGTATCATACACGCACATTCTTTTTTTGGGTAGAAAAATTGATCAAAAATACATCCCCACATGAGAAACGCCCCAGTTTTTCAGTGAAAGATATTAACAATTCATAAATTACAACAGCTAAAATTATGTATTCATATGCCTAAACGAAGAACTCAATTTGCTTCTATACAGGTGGACTATCTGTAAACCAAAATGCAAGGGAGCAGGAAAAAAGTTTGTCGTAGAAAGATTTCTGTTTTTGAAAACTCACATAAGATGGGGAGAGGACCCTTAGAGACCAATAAAATATTTTTTCTGATACAATTAATATCACTGTAGAGAGAGTCTGCCCAAAGGATATAATTTATCTGTAATGTGATCCATGATGAATACAATAGTCTTGGAAATTTTGCACAGGCATTGATACACACATCCATTTTTGATCCCAATATTGTCGGGGGGGGGGGGAGGAGATGTGTGCAAGGCTGTTGTTTGAGCTTTGGATAACTATTTTTACCGTCTTCAGTTTTTTTCATAATACAACTCTAGTCAGTAATTTCCTTGTTATCTCAGTACCCATTTTTCTTTGTCTCGTGAATTCAGTATTTGTTAGGTTAGGTTAGGTGTCCAATACAATTAACTTTCTATAAACATTGATTGTATTGGACTCCTAACCTCCCAAAATCAGTTTCAGCAGAATGCAGAAAAATGAAATTCATAGTTTCTGGTAGGTTCACGAAAAGTAGGTACTGAGATAACAGGAAAGTACCCTCTAGTCATTGCGTGAATTCCGTTGACTTTATTTTTACACATTTTATACTAACACGAGATAATTTGACTTGAAAAAAAAATCACGAACGCTGATCTGCTCTTATTGAAATGCGTATTTCGGAGCAGTGACTTTCCCATGGCCCCTCTCACATTCACTCCTCCAGTTGTCGTTTTTCTTCTTTTCCTCACTTGTCGGCTGCTTTCTATTTTTTTTTTTTTTTTGCACTGCATCCAATGATGCCAGTGGGGATTGGACGGAATTTCAAGTGAGGCAGCGGCGGAGCGAAGAGAATTTCTGCGCGATGCACTGAGCGCTCCCTTAGGGGACATCAGGTTCGCAAAGGCCCGGCCACTGACGTGCCTCGTGGGAATTGTTGCTTGATCCCTTCCCGTCGGGGCGTTTTATTTTTACTGTCGAGCTTTCACATGTTGCGTCGTTTTCTTCTTCCCTTCCCCACCCCCCAACTTGATCCTACAATTTCATTTGTTGTAGATGTAGCAAGACTTTTATTTCGTTTGCGTGTTTTGCAAGTCGTACGGAGCAATCACGATGACAATCATGCTGCTCTCGCTACGTAGAAACCCGATTTTAAAATGCGTTTCAGAGTGTAATAAGTTAGTAAGTTACCTCGTTCCGCGATGACGTCAATGGGAGCTATGCAGTAACAGTATCATGAAAGAAAACCATTAGATAGGTATAAACCATTCTTCCGAGTAACGAACTACATCAATTATTCTCTGCTTGAATTAAAAAATCTCCACAGTTTCTCCCAAAATTTTGAAAATGAACTCAATCTTCAGAATGAAAAACACGCGCCGAAATTTTGCTGCGTCTCTGAATTGTCGAAACCTGACGGAAAAGATACAGCACAATAATGTAATTTGAAGCTTTCCTAACGTAAATGAAGATTAATTCGTCATTTGTTTCAATACAGGTCGACTCTCTACAACAACAGTGTCTGCAACAATTTTCTCGTTATAACTTCTCACTGCCAATGATCCGGAAATTTATAATTTCCCCTTACAGTATATTTGTCATGACATCTCAGTATTTCCTGCACACAGTCATGTTCACAGCGCAATTTTACTTTTTACACTGGGATTTTTGTTTGATTGGATATCATACTACAGCAAAATCTCATTAAAACAAAGCCATTTGGACCAGTAAAACAGCTGCATTGCAACAAGAAATTAATTATAGAGGAATTCTTTCAAGATTGTTGCTATTGAGCCAGGAACTGAAAACGACTTGATCGTAATCAATTATTCATCATAGCGAGATTCTTTGTAACGAGATTTTACTGCATTTTCTCTGGCTTCACTTAATTCATTTTTCGAAGATTGAGCCATGCACATAGATATATGCCTTCATTCGAAGTAATCAGCTCGATTTCAATTCATGTTCATCGAAAAACCATCGGGTTGAAAATACATCAATAATCTTCATTTATTAGCTTCCGAATCCTGATCATTGAAACTGTACCGCATCCGGTTATCATCTGGCGTCGAATCCAAAAAATTCTACGATGAAGAGTTCATTCATCATCTGCGAAACACAGGAAAACGATTTCCCTTCAACAAAGCTCTCGTCTTAAGATCAGCCGTAAAAGGGGAAATCGACTTCAAAGCAGCATACGTAAACACACTCCTTATCGGTATTAATATAATCTCAGCTTTTCCACCATAACTGCAGGGGGTTCGCGGAATGAAATTCGTCGAAGCACACGGATTCCAGGACAGCGATCGAGCCATAGCAAGAAAACTCCAAAATAAAATCTCGAGGAAAGCTTTTTCCTTTCATGTGCGGATTTGGAAGCGGCCAGCCTTCGTAATGTACTTGACGCCTTTGAAGGGCTTGTATTTCTCTCCAAACATGTCGAGACGACTGACTTTGATCCCCGAAATGGCCAGTTGCGGAATGCAAAACTTGAGTCCGATCGGAGGGTTTGATTCCGGGAGCGGGGTTCCCGCTTGCACACTGATGGTCCCGCGGATGTTGGGCACTTTGGCCGGATCAATCCGTCCGACTTCCCAGAGCAGAACTTTGGTGACCGGATCGAACGTGTAGCGGCCTTGAGTCGGTGTCAGGACGCAGTTGAGAACGCACTTGGGCATTTGTATTTCCATTGATACATTTTCAACCTGTCGACACAAGACATATCATATCTTTCACCGACGCTCACTACACCACACTCCCAGCAACCCTTTTGACAACTCATTAAAATCAATTGAACACAAATTTCGCAGCCCCTTACGTCGTCATTTTTCCAGACTCGAAAAGAAAAACTTTTCGTCTTCATCGGTCAAACACAGAATTCCGCTTTTAACGCGAATTTTAACACACATCCCCTAGATTTTCAATACGCAAAATTAAAATTCCATTCATATGCAAATATTAGCACCCCCATACTTTCCTGGTGTTCTGACTCCCCAAGAAACTAAAGCTCACCACAAAATTTAGGTTTTCCCCAGGAAAGGATGAACTGTGTCAAGCATTTAAACAAAGGCTATCTGTAACATAAACGGCGTTCCTCGTCTGCATATTTTGTTTCGATGCTCTATTACAGTACTTGAAAAATACAGCAGATATAAAAATAGTAAGGGTTAGATACTATTTCCAGCGACAAAGTATTTCCATTCATTTTGATTGAGCCTGTGACTTGGAAATCGGAAAAAGGCGTGCTTATATGAATTTGTATTAAAGGGAATGGCATGAGCATAAGTAATCCCACAGGGCTCCAAGGAGAACAGGTTGGAAAACACACAACTACACTAAAGCATACTCTTACGAATTCTGCTACAGTAGCTCATTTTGACACTTAAAGAGGTCTGAACAACAAATTTGGGGCTACTGAAGAATTTGGATCACAATTCATGGGAGTGTCGCCTAAAGAATTTGAAAATTACTTTAAAAATGTTTCAAGAGAAATCACCAATATTGTTTGCCCTACGTCAGCATCCTTTCATGATGTAATCAAATGTTTGTTGGACCCTAAAGCATGACAGTGCTCACAGTCAATCAATTGGAGATTGATAAATTTAAAAATTTTGATCTGTACTCACAACACGACCCATGGTTTGGCGTGGTCCTAAGGTAACGTCAAGTCGACCTCCACCTGATTCTTTGAACGATATCGTATGTCGCACAGACACAGGAATCGCCACGATATTGCTCGAGTTGAGGTGATACGAAATCAGTCGGAAGTTGCCATCGGGAGGAACAAACGACAGCATTTTGTCATTCTGAAAAATTTTAAAACAAATAATTTTTTGGACACTGAGGATATAATGTAAAGAAGATTGAAACTCGCCTCCCAACGCCTAAATCGCACACAAGGATGGAAGCTAACATCCTCCAGCAACCGAGGATTCACAAACGTCATCGTCAAATCCGGCATTCCACTCAGTTTAACACAGCAGTCAACCTAGGAAAAATGTTGAGGGTTCACGACACAAATCCGATTTTAAATATGAGAGATTTACTCACATATCCTTGAATCTCTGCGAAAACAACGGACCCAGATTTGTCAATGATCGCATCGATTTCCTCGATTACATCGAAGTAAGCTTCATTGTTGGTGTACTTGACTCCAGATCGTCGCCAAGGAACATTTGAAAGCTGACCAGTGGGTAGAAGTTCCGACACACTACAGACGGGAATTAAAAGCATCTTCACTCCCACCACACGTAAAAGAAATTGAAAAGAAGTTTCAAAATACTTCAGATATGGACATCCCAATCCAAATTCAACCAAGAAATTTAATGAAAAATATGTTGAAAATATTTAAATACGGAACTAATCTGAAAACGATATATGTACATTACAGTGCCCAAGTTAGAATGGAAAAGTGCGCAAAAAAACTCACTTTGACTTTCCAGAAACCGTGTTGACGATTTGACGGAGAATATTCGGCGGTTTAATCAACTCCTTCAGGATATTACTTTCCGTCGCCAGGGGAAAGCCATTGTCCAGCATTTCGTCCAGAATTTCGTAGACGACGACGACATTTTCTTTAATTGTTGTCTCACTGCAATCGTTGAAGTAATCCGCGAACGTGTCCACCACACGATGCAAAAACTCAATCACAAATAACGGCGGGGCTGCAAGCATGAACAAGTACGGTTATACCTTCTTAAATAGGTTTCTCTTTTTTCCTTTCACGAAAAAAAAAAAAAAAAAAAAAAAAAAAAAAAAAAAANAAAAAAAAAAAAAAAAAAAAAAAAAAAAAGGATTTCAAAATCACCTTCAGCCGTGCATACTGCAACAAGGAACAGATTGCACCTATAGATGGAAATGAGGTAATGCCGGGGCGTGGAAATCACAGGATCGACATCCTCCGGTGCCCCAGCTTTCTTTTGTGCGTCGAAAAAATAGTCGCACACGGACCGGGGAACAACTTTTTTCCAGTGTTTTTCGAGGAAAACGTCCCTGTAAGAAAAAAAAGAAGAAAATCATGACCTGCCGTGAAATATGCCTGCAAAAGGGAAGAAAGGTCAAGCACTCACCCGCTCGCGTTTATCACAAAAACACTGTCTATCATTATTTGTCAGACCATCGGAAACCGCGGGTACAAACCTGAAAAATATGGGAATAGGATGAAGCGAACAACTTGAGAGGAAACAAACAGTTGTCTACGAGGGTTGGTTCCGACGTTCCGTTAGTATTTGCCCCACTAGATTTTCGGCTGGACGATCGATTTAATTTTTAGAGATTTACAGCATCCGTCCGTTGTATGACCCTTTATCCAATTTTTGCTCACGGACATTGAAATTAAGTGAAATTGAGAATAGACGGCGCAAAACTTGACATACTCAACTTGCATATAGTGTACATGCATTATAAAATGACCACACGGTCTAAGCGCTACTAAATACTTCAAATTTCTTAGGAACACCTTCCAGAACAATTATCAACTGCAAAAATGGCAATTTTGAGATTATGAATGCGATGTTCGACTGAAATTTGAATTAGCAAGTGGGAAGCTGACTTCGATAAGGCTAAGGCAGCGTTAAAAGACGAACCTTTGCTAGGGAAAATGAGACTTGCTTTTACACTTCGTATTGACACCACAACTCAGTGGTTTAAAGGACTACGACTCAGAAACATCAACGCCCAAAAACAAGGCAGGGACAAAACATTCGAACCAGACCTCGCACAACTTCAAACGACCAATTAAAAGCTTTGGTAGTCAACTCACAGGGTTGCACTAAAAAGTTGTAACACGGTTCAAAATGATTAAAATTTCCATCAAAAACAAGCAACCCTTTCGATGCGCCACCAGAACTCTCAATTTCCAAACAACGAAAAAAAAAAAAAAGTAATACACACCACGCAGCTGGAAATACTTTCCATCGTTCATCCGAATCTTATTGACCGTGAGAAAGAAGACAAATGACACAAAAAATCGCGATTGCTTCTCGCTATAGTTTGGGAGACTCTGAACATTTTTCGTTGCATTTGAGTAAGTTCGATGCAAGACTGCAGCGAGGTCATCTTCTAAAGTACACTCGGGCTGAAACCGCAGAAAAAAACAATGCCGAACTCGTGAGCTCTCTAATTCCCTAATCCGGGACTGCGTCTACATCCAATCATAGAACCTTGGAAATTTCCACCAGGTTTTTTTTTGCTGTTCATAGCACTGTTTCCAGAAGAAATCACCAATAGATTCCCCAAGATTGCATCGCAGCGCACTAAAATCTTCCACGCAAAGAAAATCAAGTCAACAAATAATTTTCTCCCCCGCAGCCGATTCACAAAATTGTGCAAGAAGAGAAAAATCACGGAATGTACTCATGAAAAAAAAAATGTACTCGAATCGACGATGAAGTGAACATCAGCATTGTGAATGAACACTGAACTTGATGGGTCATCCAAAATGTGAATTTCCGAACATATGCCACAAGAGCTACACGTCAAGGCCGCGCTAAAAAATACTTCAATTACAGTATTTTATTGAAACTGTCGGCTTCGATCCGCCTGATGAAAACATTACAGAAAAAATTGAAAAAAATTGTCCCCATTGAATAAGAACAGAACGGTTCAGCCCGAGGTCCTGAGCCAACAATCCAGGACGATAACTATCCGTCCATCTTCCCATATCACAATCATCTCTCTCTCCGAAAGATGTCACATCTTCCACAAGCCCAACCACGGTTTGCATACACTACAAGATTTTTTCTCCCTGGAGCGACAATGGCCCATCCGAAAAAAAAAAAATCGACTAGAAATACAGGCCTCGCCTCAAGGAACAACTTCCCCTTCGATCGTGAGGCTATTGCCGAACGCTGTACAAAATCACCGCCGAAAAAAACACGTTCTCATTTTTCTTTCCACTAAGAACTCAGCACCCTGAACCCAAGAAGGGTTCTTCTAGAAACAATATCACACTGCTGAATGAATGAAAAAAATGTAGCTTTCACTGAACTTCCACTCGCTGTCACTTCTAGTAATGAATTAAACATCATCAGGAAATTCGTAATGAACGATTACAGAAGAAAACTTAATTAAATTTGTTATTGTACATCGCCAAATTGGAAACAATTCGTGAAAAGAGCACAAATTATGGTCAAAGAAAAAAGATAATTCCAATACAGCTGTAGGGGAACAAGTCTTTATCTTTAAACCTTAATTGCTCTTGAAATGCATAAAATTCTTTTTCATCTCGATCAATAGCAAAACGATTAATCTCGTCCAGGATCAGCTGGCCGAAAACATCAGCAGGCGAAAGATCAATGAAAGCCTCGTAAATGGATAAATACAAGGAGACGGAACAACGTTGCCAAGCCTCATATAAAAAAACCGGCTCGCAAGCAAGGGCGACGTAAAACCTCAAATTTCAAAAACATTTCATGCACTATATGATCCCTAGTGCGAATTCGAAAGCTATTCTGCGAGATTCCATCATGCCATTTTTCATAGAGCGAGTTCAGTTGAGCAAGGCAAGAACGTTCATGATTATTCTGCGTTTAACATAAATCACTGCCGCCTTCCGAATCCCTTCACTTCTAAGATATAACTTTTCGTTCTTTGATAAACGATAAATTCTTTTTTTCCTTCCTCGTATTGTCATTGGAAAGTTGTCTTGATTAAAACCTTATTCATGAAGTCAAATTTCAAAACTACAGTCGAACGAACTCAACTCTATGAAAGATTATATAGGCTACATGAGAAGACCGGTCGAGATCAGTATTTCAGACGATTGTCCAGCGGAGAAACGGCACCAGACCCGCCGCACTTGTTCGCATAGTGCACCATTTGAATATGTCGTTTAATGTCACTCGTCCGGTTCATTATTTTGTGGCATATTGGACACGTCGTCTCTCCCGTGTGAACTTTCCGATGCATTTGTAACGACCTGATGTTCACGTACGCCTTTCCGCACTGTCCGCACGTCACCTGCAAAAAACAATAAATTCAAGTCAGCCAAATATAAGAATAAAAATTCGTCAATAGAGTAAAATATCGTTACAACACACTTTTGGGTACTTCAGAAAAATTTTGTTATACTGAAAAATTTTTTACTATGAGATTTTTAAAATTAATAACCTGAAATATTTTCCACATCCGACCTGCCCATACCGTAATCAAGTAGATCTTGCTTTACTGGCATTCTCAGATTTTTGTATTATTGTTTCAAAAACAGTGATCTTCCGAAAAAAAATTCGCTTCAATCATGTATTCCATCAGTTACACCAATCTCTTCATTCTGGGAGAATGATACGTGGAACCACCTTGAAACATGTTCGTCAATGATTACGGCTTCCATTCATGCTACAAGAACCGGTCAGTCACTTTTGGGATTTGAAATTTCAGACAGTGCCTGCCTTAGTCAGGAAATTTCTACCTGGTGAATCTATTAAACATTCCTCAAAAAATATTGTCAAGACTGGAATCGGGATTTTTTTATAATGCGATTGTTCTAACATATACTCTATTTTCTGTACCCCGAGACTCCGAAAAAATGTTTGCTATACTGAAAAATTAATGTAGCGAGATTTTCCTTCATACCAATCGTAAGCATACCTCTTTTCCTTTCCCGGAACAATTACTTGTTTGATCTTGAGAAAGCTCTTGGTCACTACTGGCGGATCCAGCGGCGTCCGAATGTCCATTACTCGCGTCTTCACGTTTCATCGTTAGATTCATCTCCGAGGTTGGGGACGAAGCCACGATCCCTGCCCCGTCATCCGTCAAATCCAACGATATGACCTGAAAAGCATACTCGATCATTCACCCACACGCTTCAATCTTATAGATTGCTAAGGAATAAAATGCTTCAAAAGAGCACGATCTGCGATCATTTCTTTAAATTTAGAATTCCACTGATGCGACGAACCTTAACGTTTTGCGGCCAAATATGAAATCAGCTCTGACAGCAAATGTGAGACGGACTTATGGTTACTTGTAATTTCTTTCATTTTGTTCACGTTTCCGTTACCGGACAAATTTCCTCAAACAAATCCAAAAGAAATCAAGATTGTAATTATCGTGCCAGTGAAATGAAAAAAGGTTGCCAAGATTTGATTTTCATTGAATTCCACACATTTGTTTAGTGAAAATACTGTACAGGATGTATCCCAAGCATCATATTTCAGACAAGTGATTTGTACGCCCACTCCGATAAACAAAGAGGAGATTCATTTTTACTCCGGAGTTAAAGGGGGCAGGAAATAATTATTTAATTGAACATGTACCCTTTCATCCCATTGCTCGTCATCACTTCCGAAAAGGATCCAACGATAGCGAGGTGACGGATTGACCTTTATCATTACAACCATAGTTTTATCTCGCCGATTCCCTCATTTTTTGGTTTTCAAATTTTTGCGCATATTTGCTGAATCGCGGTGATTCTATGAAGTTTCTCTCGATTACATAAACGGAAACGAAATCCCATGAACAGCATTTCCAAGTTTTTAGAAGAATTACATTATGTTTTTCAAACCCCATTCCATTAGAAGGTATGAACTCACTACAATTCTAGGCAGGGATACCAGAGCCAATTGAAATACTGTATTACAAATACTGTACATGTACTGTATAATATCCACGACCGTCAAGAAAAAATGTGGAAAAGCGCAGTCAGTAAGAGAAATCGTGTTCAAAAACAAAGAATAACACAAATTTTCCGCTGAAAATTTCCTATCGCAGGAAGAAAAACTCACCGGTAAAATTGCATTCGAAGCAGACGTTGTGGTCACCGGGGTATTACTGTGATGTAGTGGAAGAGGCTCGACTTCAATTTGCTGCTCCTCATCTGCAGTGATACACTCGTGCTGAACAACCTGTTGAGCTCCTCCATTGCTTAGATCAGTAACGGAATCAGAATTCGTCTCCTGGAAATCACATCAATGCCCCCAGGGGGAAAAATTTGAGTTTAAATTTGACAACAAAATAAAAAAGGATCCACCACTCACCGCGGATGACCGGTAGTTGAGATCCCATGCCTGTTCTTCGCTCAAACCACTCATCTCTTCTTTACCGTGATGGAATCTGGAAAAGGCTTGGGGGCCGGAATCAAACCCGTCAGCGCAAAACGACGCCATCTTATTGAACATCCCGTCCAATTGCTGGAAGTCAACCAGTCCTCCGGCACCAAACATCTCTCCGTTGCTCGTACACGGTTTCGATTTCTTCTCTGGAGGCGGTTCGTACGTCATACAAAGAGGCTCCTCCTCGTCCTCCGCATATTCTCGTTTTGACACGGAGTTCACTAAAATCATGAAGAAAAATGTTCAATTCATTCAATTACGGTATTCCGTGTGAATCGACGCTTCGACCTCTGGGTATCATCTCATGAGAATTGTACAACTGCGCTTGAAAATGAGAAAAACGAACAAATTTCAACAGGAAATCATTCAATTGAATTTTAGAAACGATCACGTTTTCCACGAAAAATGCTGAAATGCGGTTAGGTTCAAGTATCTACCAACTGAAACTGAATTCAAGTCCTAGGTTTAAAAAAACACTGAACTGCACAGAAGTGAAAATGCGCGGAAAACCCAAACTTAATTTTTCTGAACGCTTTCCTGAGTGACAAGTTTGTCATGCTGTAATATTTTTTGACGGAAGTTCGGAATTTAAAAATAAAAGGAATTTCGGATAGTTTTTGACACAAATGGCAGTGCGTAGTTTCGCCAGCGAACTGTTCGTCCGTTCAGAGGAAAGAAATATTACTGTACTGTCTCACGATCAGGTGTTCTCATTCACGTAAATACGGTACTGTATAAAAATAATACAGTTGTACAACCACATTACACCCTTATCTCTTGATGAATTTTTGCAGAACGGACTCGGACTGCCACCAATAAGCGTCCACCATGCAAGGAATGTAACTTATCCCAAGCACGTATTGCCTCGGATAAATGTAATGGCTTCAAGTAGAAAACTCCATAGGAGAACTTTCTTTTCTAAATCATTGCTGTTGCGGCAAATATGGGTGTCAGCAACGTTTTCTCGACGGAAGGCATTTTTCTAATGCTCTCGATTGTGCTGAACATTGTTTTCAATTTTACTTCGTGCTTTTGTGATTATTCAAATTACGAATACACATTCCTTTAAAAATGATTCAAATAGTGGTGCATTCAACAATTTCCGAAAATCTGGATTGCTGAGCCGTTTCATATGAATTCAAATTACTAGAGAGATTTTTTGGGGTCTAAAAATTATTGGTCATGCTTCACAAGTTTACATTACTCAGTTGATAAACTATCCGGATTAATGACTTCCCACTAGAAAAGATTGAAATTTAACTATGGAAAACGTGGCATTAAGACTAGCAGATGAAACATCCCGGAACTCCTAGCCCTCCAAATCCGTCATGCAATCAGGTCATTGGGATATTTTCATCAACTCACCTCCTCCTCGACTATCAACACAAAGAGACAAGGGTTCGTCATCGTCCTGAGGTTTCCGCTCTCGTTGCACAAATGTCAGCCCATCTACTCTCAGACTCTGGGCCGTTTTGAAGAAACTGGATACATTGCAATCGCGCACCGTCACACAACCAGTATACAAGAAGTCCACGACAGACTTCAAATCGGCAAACGAAATGTCACGGAAGAATATGACGGGGTGCTGCGACCGCGCGTCGCAATCGCGTAAGATGCTCTTGAAGTAGGCCGACCCCATTGAAAGCACCAAACGATGAGCTTTCAATCGTCGGCCTTCGCAAGCCAGCGTCACGTCAACGAAGTCTTCGGTTTCCCAAATTGAGTCCAATGCCGAGGCAAGACGAGTTTTGAAGTCGCCGCAGCTGACGGCGAATTCGGCGCGGTTGTCACGAGACACTGGCGGAACTGAAGGAGACCCGAGCGGCACGCTGTCCTGGTTCGCAGCGCTCGCGTCCATTTTCTCTTACTCACAGAAGGCACTCAAAACACGATCCCAAATCGTTTCACTTCTAATCTGTGGAGACACGCCACAAATCTTCAAGGTTGAACACACACACGAAAACGGAGCAGAAAATTTGAGTCCTCTCAATAATACCCCCAAAAATGTACAGTCCGATATGAGTGTACGGTATTCATTATTTCTTTTCTTCAAGTAAGGACAACGCCGACCTTCGAATACGGTGTCCGAACAACTACTGTGCAGTGGGAAGAACGTAATGTCATAGACGTTTCAAGTAGAGATCATCCACATCACTTGCGACCCTCTGGATTGTGTACAGAAAGCTCATGTTTTATTTAAAACTTCTTTTCCACTGTACAGTAACTTCTCAGACACAACACAATATCTGACCGCACATTTTCAGGGGGAAAAAATCACAATGTTGATCATTCTGCAAACAGGCTATGCGATCTTCTTTCCTTCATCAGCAAAAAACAAGTTCACGGACGTTTCGAAGACATAAATAATTAGCACGACTTTTATTGTGCTGCACAAGGACTAAATCGAAACGAAGTCTAGAACAAATCACAATGTGTTAGCAAACCCTTTTCTGATTTTCCTGCCGTGGATTCCGCTTCCTTTCTCTTATCTTTGGAAATGGTATCTACCAGGCAAAAAATACTAACGATCAAACACATCACAGCTGTGAAAAACGAAACTCAAGACGTTCGGAACCAGGCATCGGCTTCTAGTGCCACAACATCCATTTTCGCTTTAAATGCAATATTAATTTGTTATCACTCCGTTCACCAACGACTCCAGTAACTAGATTCAAAATTACAAGCCTTCAATAAGCAGTGGAATGAGTCCTTGCTATGAGCTCAGATCAGCAGAGATCCTTTCACGCATTCCATACCTCGTAAAACCGGGATTCCAAATGAGGAAGGAAAACTTAGGAAAAGGGGGTGTACAAGAAGATAACACATCATACAAGCTTAGTTTTGGTTGAAAATAAATCAATAGTAAGATTTGCTTCGGAAAGATTCCTCTACTATTTCGTTGAATTGAAATTTTCAAGTTTTCAAAGCGATGCTTTTGTGAGTAAAGATGTCAGCAGCGGGGTCAACCCAAAGTGGAACGTCATCGTCAATAAAAGCCAATTTGAAATTATACAAACATTTTAAAGAAAATATCTGAATTATGGTCAGAATCCCCCGCACACTCAATTTTCTCCAACTTAATCCGTCAAACTTTTTCCGCTTTTACTCTGGAGAAACACTGACAAAAATTAACCCCCTTCTTCGACAAGTGGGACTCTTGAGGATCACCACAATCGGTTGTGACTGTACTTCGTATCCGTGCATGACTTCGTCGCAATAAAACCATTTCTTGGCTTGAAAGGATCGAAATCAGTGGAGCGCTGATTAGCAGGCCTTCCAGCTGCCGCAGATGGATCACCATGGCTTGAGGAATCGCTCCTGGAGACCATTCACAAAGTATATCATTCTCAATTTAATTGCTCATCAATAGGTCACTGAATGCTAACCTTAGTTGACTACCAGACTTGGGAAGCGCGTTAGCCCCATTCAAGGTATCCCCAGGTTGATCATGATTCATAATCTTGAACGCGAAAAAGAAACCCCGATTCGCAATGATTGATTAGAGCAGCTTTTGATTATTTGTCAACAGCAAAATTCGAAGGATGAGCTAAAAATGCAACCGTCCTTCGAAAAAACCAACACCTTTGCGCTGCGGTCACAGAAAAAAGTCCAAATCCAAGTTAGATGCAACTGCATCCCTCAAAAAATTAAATTTTCATACTTCTGTAAGAAGTTAGAGAAAATTTCACACTTTTCAACCTGCCAAATCGCATGCACGTAAAAAAATCCAACAGAAGATAAAATCACTGCACTCACGTGAGAAATCGTACTTTTACGCTTAGCAGCTGTAGAGAAAAAAGTGACCTCTGGAACAGGAGGATTTCGGCAAGCTGTCCCTGGCTCATCTGTCCACATTTTATCTCTTGAGTTTTTAATCACCTGGTCAGTTCGACCATCATAAAATCCTGCGTAGATAACAAAGTTGATTGCTTGTGGAATAGTTGAGTCCAAGGAGTAATGTTTTTTCAAAAAAGTCAAGAATTTCTCGGATGGCCTGTCAATCGCCAGATGAACAGGAGAAACTTTCAGATCCTGAGAATAGACCACGAAAATGTACAGTCAAGTTTCCGCACTGAGAGAGGAAAAGGAAATAATTATCTCACAGCAAGCATGAATTCAAAGAGCATCTTTCCATGCCCACGTCGTTGAATGGCTTCTGGGACATAGAAATCCAGAATGCACATGGGTTTTACTTCATTTGTTGCACCATTTTCGTCAAGCAAGTACAGCTTTTTGTAGCCAACTTTCAGCAGGCCCATAAGTATGCCTTGATTCCTGAAATGATGATTATGTCATGCAAAAAAGATTAATTCTTCAAAGAAAGTAACCTCGACAAAAGAAGACATTTTTATATGATCAAAGTACATTCTTCAACACCAATGTCGTTAACTTCAGAATTTTTTATCAACTCCTGCTCAAAATCATGAAGCATATTTTATAATGAAGCATATTGTACAGCATTGGAAGATGTTCAATTTGTTGCGGCACAAATTGAAAAATGTAAAGCTTATTTCCACTAAACGGACACAAGACATCCTCTTATTTAATATACATCATGAAGCATCTCAAATTCACCTGAGTCTTTAAGAGTGTTTTCTAGACAGTTTACCCTATTTTTGTTCAAAAAACCACTTTGTGTCCTGTGCCATTAATACAAACTTCATTTCTTTCAGACCAGTATGGTTACGAAGATGCATTCTTTAATGAAGCAGTATTTATTGTGTACAATAAGTAACAGATGTTGAAAGATGAAATCTTAGTGGATTATAATGTCACTAGAGGAAATTGATGTAGGTGATGAACCCCACTTCAAGGCCAAAAATATTTTTGAAGAATTTTACTGGAGCTTTTCAGTATGAGAATAATAAAAATTATATACAGTACCTTAGCTGAAAAAGAACTTATACTGCTGCAACTATGAACAAAATTTTGCTCATTTTTGCTGTACTGTAGAAGTAGAAAAAACCAATATAAGATAAGTTTATAATGCAAATAAAAAAACACTTATATGTAAGGATCCATAGCTACATTTTTCATAACAAAAAAACTACTGTACCTATTTTTATAATGCCCGAGTTCATTCTTTACGACTTATACAATATTTCCAATTTTAGCAGGGAAATAACATTTATAATTTAAAATTAAGAGTTTGCAAATACTGTAGTTACTTCTTTAGTTATTTAGCATTAGGGTCATTTACTTTTGTCAGGGGTGCCAAATTTCTTCATGCACAAAGGTGCCACCCATACCAGGGCCGGCCTTGCTTGAACTTCAACCAAATAGATTTCAGTTATCTTCACCCAGATTAGTGATTCGAATGAAATCTCCAGGCCAGGATTAAAAATTATGAAAATCTTACTCGAAGCATGTACAGAAGACAGTTCCAAAAGCGTACCTTTTCTCAGATGGTTTCGTAATGATGTAAAGCACGTGATCAAAATTTCGCATCTTCTCGAAGGATGTTATCGCAGAACTCAGGCCTTGCGATTTTGCGGACGCCTCTCCGGCGATATCGATCACATCTTTCAGGTACTTCAGCCAGCCACTGCACATTTTCACATTAGTTTCATATGAACACTTGGACGTTTCAAGAATATCGCATCTTACACATTTGGACGAATCTCTTTGGTGAAATTTCCAGTCTCATCCCAACAGCGCACATCGAACGAAGGACCAGAAACTTTGTTGAAAAAACCAGGTAAGATATTTTCGAAGGAAAACTGGAACTCCATTTGTTCCGGGACCGCAGAAAAGTACCGACACAGTATTGAACGGATCACTGAATGTTAGCTACCTGCAAAGAACGTTTACAGTGTAACTTGAGGGAACTCGTACTTCACCCAACACTTCCGACCAAAAACAAAAAAGCAAAATAAAACACAGAAAAATAAAAAAAAATTATGAAAATGGCACTGAATTTTTTACGGGCTGCTCAAGGATGTGTTCTTAAATTCCTGAAGTGTTTCCGCTTCAACTAACAGCCGATTGAATTCATCAACGAGGGAGTCGAAGTCCGGGTGAGCGGATGTAACTTTTCTGAGCTTATCCATGGTTTCGTTGGCGGTCCGAAGCTCTTCGTCGACTTGTTTCTCATATTTGTCCAACGCAGACGAAATTTGGTTCAACATCACATCCGAGTAAGGGGCGTGCTGAATGCAATGCAAATACGTTTCAGCATCCCTGCAAGACGAAAACTCGTCAACATTGAGACCAACACGAGGTATTTTCAGCACTGACAAAAATAGGATAACTATCAAAATTTGCAAGCTCTAAGAATTCCAAGAACAATTCAATTTGAAGTATCATGTTCATCATTCAAAGAATGGTACAACTATCACTCATAACAGATAATTTCCATAGTCAAGCATCACATAGGTATAAAAACAATGTTTCATACACTAATTCACTCCATTTTCTCTATGAAAATCCTGCCGTTTTCGCGAGCTGGAAGATAGTTGAAAAAAAAAAAAAACGAATCACCTCGTCGCACTGGTGATGACATCCCGATCGGCCTCCGCAGTCAATTTCAGATCTTCCATGAAAGCCGCCAATTCTTGCCGTGATTTCAATTCGTCTCCTGTTAGCTTCGATAAACAGGATATGTGATCGTTCAGCTGTATCGCAGTCTCTTCCTCAAGCACTTCAAGATCTTTGAAAGCATCTGAAACTGCCACTTTGTCCGCTAACGTGTTGCGTATGAAAGTCAGTATTTCTGCAATAGCGTTCAAACTTCAGACCAGGAACATTTTTCACAGAGATGCCAAGGATATTTGAAAAATTTACCATCGTCGGTTTTTTCCTCCAAAGAGAAGGCATCACGCACAGCCTTTATGTACTTTTTCGAAACTAGAGAGAGACATTCACTGGACGACTGAAAAAACAAATTCATCAAATTTGAGTCAGTCTCAGCTACGATCATATACGGTACTCACTTCGACTTCCTTCGACAAACCCAGTGCTTCGCGAATTAATTGCACGGCGATGTGAAGTTCACCTTCATCAAAGATTTCTTGCAAACGCGATACAGTAACGAAATTGCTCTCACGATCCATTTCACAGTCACACTCTTAAAAGGGAGACAAAACTGCATTCAGGGCTACAGTTTTCGTTCCAGAGGTAGTTAAGAAGTAGGAATCATCTTAAGAGGCCCGCACGCCAGTTTATTCAAACAAGTCGCTGGCCAACATCAAAAAAACCAGCGCACTCTCAAAAAATTGCGTCAAACCGACAGTGCAAGTCCACCAGAGGAACACACAACGTTTCCAGAATATTTTCATCAAGTTAGGCTCCCTGAGCGACCTCAGTTTCTTGCCTAAACCATCATCGTATCAATAATCCTTTTGCAGCGAACAGATCGGTAAAGATGTGTGGTGCACAACAATAAGAACAAAAATACTTTCTATTGAAACAAGAATGTCAATATTCTCAAAATATTCTGCGATTCGTATTGTGACACAAGACGTGATGAGAGGCATATAAAATTCTAACGAAAGGATCCGCATCTTTGAACTGAATCACTGCAAAAGAACCTGATCGACATTCTGGAGCACTCATGTGATGCTACGGCGAGAGGACTGACGATCAAAGACCGCAATGGCGAAAACACAGAAGAAACGATCAACAATCACTTTAGAGTTCGTTGGATGAATGGTCGAAGTGAATAATCGATGGATCAGAGTCGAGGTATTCCAGCAGGAATTCTTCTAACGTATCCGTCGTCCACTTATCGATGGCCAACGTTTCTTGGACCTCCCCCACAGCATTCATGAGCTTCACAACCGGATCTTGCCCCCGTTTATACTGGACGGTTAATCCAGGGAACTTCTCCGGTCGATCACTTTTCACGAATGCTGAGGAAAGAATCAAATTTCTTTTATCATCAATAATTCGTTGAAGAAAGGATTCGGAATTTCCTGCACATCAGATGAATTTTCTAGATCCACCGAAAGATCCAAAGAGAATGAAGGTTACTTTCAGATCACAAGAACTTCATAAAATCCAATGAAGCAATCCTTTAATTAGAAGCTTAATTAAATCCACGTTCTTGCGATTAAATTATTCTTACAGTACAGTAGCCCAATAGAAACTCGCTTTTCAGACGGTCACGAAATACTGTAGTTAAAAACTTAAAATTACAATCGGATATCGCCAAAATTTCTTCATAATTTTTATTAAACGTTTGTGAATTGAGGCATGATAAAAAATTGAACACAGGAACGGATAAAAAATTCCTCAATGCTTAAATAGCTCAGTTGAGGGAATCATCATCGAAGCAAATTGATTCTAGGTGCCACAATAATGGCCTTTTTTTCAAGAGAATATCGGAAATCCGACAGAAAAAAGAATGTAAGTTATGCTTTTGACCATTATTTGAGCCTGCTCCATTTCCTTCTGTGTTCGACGGTTCAAAACAGTTTGCTTTTAATACTGGATTGCGCAAGAATATGCACACTCTTTCTTCGACGCAGTCAAACTGTTTTACACTCTTTGTTTCGTTCCATGCGAGACACAATTAATAATTTGTTGACGTGAAAATTATTTGGACTTCGTCTCCAACGAAAAATTATGAATGCTGATCTCACCCTGAACTTGGGGGTAGGCCCCTAATTTTCATCCACAGACTTGTAAAGATGCCCTCGCGTAGCGTTTCACGCTTGTTGACGAAGTGTCTTTCTGACAACACTGCTTACACGACTCCCTGGGAATAAAAACATATTTTTCAAGCTCATAGAAGTCTTTCCATTTGCACGGTAAATTATTTTTGTTCATGTGTATACTCACAGCAATGGTTCGAGATCGAAACTTGAAAGCTGATCGCAGGAAGTGCACATCAAGTTGGCTCGATTGAGTCCTAGTTCTCGGCATTCTTCGACACTCAGCTCAGCCAAGGCGAAATCTATGACAGCGAGCGTCGCCGCCGCGAACGCTGCTAGCGTTCCACTATACATCGTCACCGACCCAACATCAATTCAATATACTGTACATCCAGATATACTACCAAAAACAAAATCTGCAATCTATCGAATGTTTCAATTAGATCATGATATAGTACTTCGCTAATTGACACACAGAGCTAAATCAAATTGGAAACACAGTCATTGCGATGGATCCACCCCAACTTTACAGGGATTCAACAATACAGCTTCCCGTAACCTGCGCCACTGTTTTTTCTCAGATTAAAATAAACCACTCCGAAGACAGTGTATCCTTTTCCTCTAAAATCTCCCAAATTTTCTTGAATTTGCGGGTTTACACGAAAATATATTTGTCAAGAGCACTTCGCCACTTCATTCCCGAAGAATCACCAAAACAAATAAAATCAGCCGTGGCAAAAACCACAGACCAAAAAAAAGCGAACGGAACATCAATCACGGGATAACCCTCGGTGCACTCTCGGGTTTGGTATCAACAACGAAAAAATTACCTCACTATTGGAGGATTTCAAAATACGTAGAAGTATAGAAAGAGGACAAACAACACGACTCCGACAGCTGCGACTTTGGCATACGTTGAACTCAGATTGAGATACCTGGCATCCTTCTTGTATTTCTGGCTCATCATGGATAGTCCATGAGCTTTCCCTTCAAGCTCTGAAACGAGAACTTACGATATTATTCTTTCACGCAGGGACGATGGAAGAATCACCTCACCTGATATAGCCGCTCCTCGTTGTAGAACATCGTCAATATTCTCCATCATTATTTTCTGAACATCGTGTAATTCTGTATTAAGATGAGCTAAATTGCGGCGAGCGCGTGAGTCCATGAAGTTTTTTTTGGCCTTCTGAATATAGGTGTCAAATTCAATGAACGAATACGGCCGAGAGATCGAAGAAAGCTTCGATCCATACTGCACATGAAACTCTTGAGCCAAATCTTCTAAATAAGAAAATGCCAGTCGTTTGGAGAAGTTCCTTTCTGCTAAACAAAGGTAGCAGACGCCCCCTTCAATTATGTAACTGAGGACATCGAGATATTCAGATAAATTGTTCTATTCTTCAAGTATTTCACGTGTTACTCACTGGAATATACATTGACCACTTTCTATGGAGCATCGCGGTGGACTCTGAGGGGTCAACTTCTTGAAAAGCATTTTAGCCTGATTTTGGAAATCCATGACTCCTTTGCCGGACTGTGAAGAACACAGTAAAATCACTTCGGGGCTTCGGACAAAAACGGAAAAAGCTCACCCGTTCATCTTCTTGAATAGAGGCTGCCAAGGGTAGCCCGTCCACGACACGGGCTATCATCGTCATTAACACCATTTTCAAAAGGAATAAATGAAGAAGTCCTTCAAAAAAAACACAGAAAGTACGGAAATCGAAAATTTAAACTTTCTTTGCGGCCAAAAATGATCAATCCAAACGCTTCTAAATAATCACGATCGCATCACATTTCCAGAGCACGAAATGTAGCAAATCCGGGCGATCAGTTCAACTTTCGGTGAGCTCTGCAAAATAATACTGGAATGATAACCGCCACATGGCCTTCGCGCACAAATGCTCTCACGAGTGACACCATCGGCTTTTGGCGCCTTCAAAGATAATCCACTGATAAAACAACTATCGGCCTCAACACACGGTTCGATCGAAAAATAATAATGTCGGCATCATGCTCACCGTTCTCTGTGGGAATCACGACGTGAGAAACCTGTACCACACTGCCTCACATTCGATCACCGACTCGAGAACAGTCATACTTTATTACTCATGGATCATCTTTCCTGTGATTAACGCACACGTGCGCAAAAATAACATCATTCTAGCCCACGTGGACCTAATTTCCCTACATGTAGCGAACCGGCTGTTCACTACTGCGACGCACAGACGTAAATCACACGCGCCGACTGAGACAGATTCGTTCGGGAGTGGGTGAACCACAGCGTTAGAGAGGCGCGCCATGACATCTAATCTGATATCCACCTCAGCAGAACGTATCATAGAACTTTTTGGATGCACAATGAACAGAATCACTGTACAATACAGTACAGTACTGTACAAGATTCAGCACATCGAAAACAGCAGTACAGTACAGTAATTTTCTTAAAATTTACATGTAGGACCCTATTATTTCTTTCAAATCACTGCTTTTTTCCCTTTACATCTAATCACAAAAAGCACGCTGTTTTTAATATTTTTGAACAAAATGAAAAAAATTAAGTGCCTCTTCAGGTGCTGCGTTTTCGGCAGCTGCATTTCCATGAATTTAATTTATTTCTTTAACTCAATATATTCAGCTCAATTTGAATACTGAATAAAATGTGAAATGTTTCATATAGCATTCTTCAGTTACATGACACTTACTATAGCTTCCTCTGCAAAATGTATGCATCAGCAGTAACTAACTATAGGGTGTCTATATCCAATACACCTCAGAAAATGTTAGAATTTTATTTTATTTTCAATCACCTGATTGTACAAAGATGTACAAAGCTCTCTATATGTCACCGATTTTGGTGTGATAATTTTACCCTGAGAGAAAGGAAAACATTCCACTGTTTATCAATAAAATCAATCATCGATCATCGTTCAGCAGTAAAAGAATGGTCTCAAACAGAGCTGCTGTGGAATCCCGAGCAATTTTCGAGTCAAGATAATCTGGAAAACAATAATAAAATAAAATAATGGAAGAAATTGGCAAAGGGAATCGGATGACGCGAAATTTAAAAATCCCAGCACGACGGCGGCAACGAAAACCGCCTCCGGCGAAACGCTCCCAATTCTTCATTCGATGCTGAAAAGCACTCCACGGAATTGCGCGATGAGTGGAATTCGCTCTTCGCTGATCCTCTCTCCTCGCATTTCTTGCGATTGAAAAGGCAAAAAGACGAAGGATCAGAATGCAGAACAATATACCGTATGAGAAATCCCGCCATATCGATGGCTTTCCGCGTGGACCAAAAACGAACGGAATGATGCTGCGCATACTTGTACTTCTGTCAATAGGAAACTTATAATTAATTTGGTTTTTCTTGTATACTAAGCACATATTTCCCCGCGAACTTTGGAGAGAAAAAAAGTGGGCGTGTTTCATTCAGCAAAACAAGTATGATAAAAAGAACTTTTTCCAAAATTTGACTTTCAAAAAATTTCGATGATTGTGTGTCTTGCACTATAAGTACACAGGGGGCATGGTGAAATTTGAGAGAATGCGATAAATGTGATATACGAGTATTTTGGCTTGTATACAGTCAAGAGCTTTCTAAGTGAAGTACTGTTATTACAAGGCCATTCACTTTCTTCTGATGGGCCTACATAAACTTTAAATGAATTTTTGAATACTGATGGACTTAATAGTCTTCACGCCTGCGATTTTTTATATTCTTTATTATATGCGGTTTCTGCATGAGGAGGCCACACTTCAATATTTGGCAGACAATCTGCAAAATTCTGCAAAACAGTATAAGCTGCTCAGTCTTTTAGAAAAATGGTATGCGTGTGTTTGTCTCTGATACGACATTTGTATTATTGACAGCACCTAAATTCTAAGGCATCCTTTCTGTCAAATTATTTTATACCCGAGGTTATAATAACCTCGGGTAAAGAAAAAAAAAAAGAGCTTTGCATATGCGTGCCGGGGAAAAACATTCATGATATGTATGCATTTTCATTTTTGGGATCTTTTCTATTTTTAAGTTTTCTTCTTATTCTTTTTACAGCTGAAAATTTATCTTACTCAATCAAAGTGTTCGCTGATATGCCTCAACGATGCCAAGCGCAATATTTTTCCAGTTTCCTCTGGCAAAAAAATTAGACATGCACTCCATTCCTGTTTCTGTAATTTGTTCATCTTTTCATTTTTTATCCTTTGACAGCTGCTCCTTTCTATACAATACGATTTGAATTTCAAGCCTTTTGAACTCGTTGTTTGTTGCCTTGGCCAGGAAATTAACGCGAAGTTGAAAGTTGTCTGTGAAAAATAATGTAAATTGCCGCAAGGTAGGGTTGAAAAATATTTGTACAGTATATGGAACTGCTATGTCAATAACTTACCATGAGTTGATCCATATAGGCGAGGAGATGATAGGTAGACGATTTATAAAAAATGATGCATTATAATTACTGTATACGGTTTTAAACAAGGTAAAGTTATATAAAGTATTAAGAAAAAATGACACTACGGATGATGAATGCAGAGCATAATGTAACATACAAACAATTGACTCGGATTTACAGAATTTTATCATATTTTAATTCTAATAGATAATAGATTGCATGAAAAATGCCTATGTTAGATTTTTTAAAATTCGGATTTCATGTAAAATAATTGCCTGCCAGACTTTTTTTTATAGAATTGAACACGAAGAACTGCACGAACAAGTCTCTCTTAAAATTAAGCAATACAAGAAAAGTTTGAAAATTTCTGAACAGGGTAATCAAATTTCAGCAAGAAAGACGGGTCTCATTTTTGGGTAATAGGCATGACAGAAAGGGCAAGAATGCCTGTCAAAATTTTTCATTCAAAGAGCCTGGCTTTTTTGTGTGTGCAGAATGCCACCTTTTGGTTTGATTATTGAATGCTTCATTGGTTTTCAAAACTGCAACAGAGATGCGTAACCTAATTCCAAAGATTTTTAGATTTGCCAAGTAAGAAAATTGGCCACCGAAAAATTTTGCATGAAGTTGATGCAATGGCTGGAAATTAAAGCGATGCAGTCATGGAAAAGCTCATCGTCTTTGCTCTCCCAAAAAATTTCTGTGAGCACGAATAATATGCAGTAGTTTTGAAATCTTTTTTACTAGACGTAGCATAAAAATTATTGTTCAGAACAAATTCGTTCTTGATGTCCCACGTTATAATAATTTTTTTGAACGAAGGTTTTGGACAGGTCGATCTCAAAATCCTTGTTGTGACAAGATTTTATCGCAATGCGAATTCATTTCTAGATTTGGGCTAAATCTGCTAGTTCAATTTTTTTTAATTTCAAAGCTTCTGGGATGCCAATTTTGCACCCCAAGAAAAAAAAAATTCTGGCTCAGCGGCAGAAGGGTAATTAATTGATTGCAGTCTATTTTTGGCATTTGACCCAAGCACCCAGGTGCAGGCATTGGCATCAACACCAACTTTTTTTTCTTCTTTTTTTTTTTTACAGCAGGTTCCATTTCCACAGGGCATCTTATTTCCAGTCCGAGCGAACCAGCATCGCTGGGGGATGATCAGCTTTTCAGCGGCATTCTCCTCTCATTGCCGCCGCACCCGAGGCATATTATTCACGTCCCGGACTCGCTAATGCATACCATGAAGGAATTCCTCGGCAAAAATGGGCACGGAACGGGTTATGCTCTGTATATGAAATGAGCAGCAGCAGCGTATCAGCGGGGGGAATGTGTGTCGACGCCGTCATCATCATCGCACCCCCCCCCCCCCCCCCTTTAGAAAAAAAGGAGAAAGAACGTAAAAAAGTGTAAGTATAGATATTTTTATTTTTTATACGTTTTCGGGATATTATAAGTCCCGGGGTTAGTCATTGCTCGATCATCCCCGGGTCGCTATCGCAGGACGAAGCTGCCGACTCTCCTGCTCTTGCTCTCCGTTGCGAGGCTCACAATGCCCGCTTTTATTGTGCTGGGGATCTGCAGCACAAAGGCCGCCATGAATGCGTCCAAATGTCCTGTCCAAGCAGGGGCTTTCAGATATTCATGGTCCAGGGGGATTCAACAAATCCTTCTTTATAAACTTCTTTAGTTTGTCAATTGAAATATCAATAAAGGCAGAGAAAAGATCCTAATTACTCAATTTTGTCATGATAATTGTGATGTTGTTCATTCAAGTAAATTACTAGCTGATCTAGCCTGTGGTAAAACTAAACCGTTGTTATTTGTATCATCAAACACCACCTTGGTAAATGATAACATAGCTCTTTTGAAAAATGCGTGGCATTTTAAGAACAAATTCATGGAATTTTAATAACAAATTCATGCCATTTTATAACAAATACATGACAACTTAAAAACAAATTCATGACATTTTAATACTGTAACAAATTCATGACATTTTAATACTGTAAACCTTATCTGGGAACAGGCTGAAAACCTTGTGCTTAAATTTGGGCTCAGTAATAGCCTTACTGTAACAAATTCGTGGCATTTTAATAAAAAAAATATATTCAAATTTTCTAAGGTGTCCTAAGTGGTGGAATTTCTACATTGAACAATGCATAAATACAGTACTTTGGTTAATGCATTTCCTGAGCACCTTCTTTTCTTGTGCCCAGCATTCCACAGCTACAGAAATGAGCTTCAAAAACATTTGGGACTCCAAAAATTCAATGGAAAGGTTCTTTTCAAAGTCTTAGAGGACCAAGATCAACT